CTAAACATTAAAACAGAAACACTAAATCTCCTGGAAGACAAAGTAGGAGGAACTCTTTTTTTTTTCAAAGTTTTATTGATAAACATATAGCAATGAGACAGTTTCAAATCAAATCGGAAGTACAGTTTTAACAAATAATACACTGCATATATTCTTCTTAGTGGTTAATTGCTGTACAAGATGCGGACTTGTGATCCTATTTACAAACACCATTAGAACAAATCATTCCATTCATTAAGCGAATGCAACTATATATCTATCCCAACCACTTTGAATACACAGATACAAAATGGACATTCATCGGTATACCCCATTTTTTCTAAGTTCCGTTATTGAATATTATAGGTGTGTAAACTCAGCAAAATACTCCAAAAGAGTCCAGTAGCCCACAATATCATTGGGTGTTCTGTTTAACTGGCAATGTCAGAAATTATTGACCTGAGTCCCCCACAGCTCAACATAGCAGCATGGCTTTATTTCTTATATTTTGACTTCATACTTTTCTACTGGATGGTTAAGACCAAGGTAAAGCAGGACCTATGCAACAAGAGTTGTAGCTTTTTGGTCTGACAAGGTCAGTGAAATGCCCTCAGGATTTATCCTGAGATCCTGTACCTCAGATTGTAGAACCTTTATCAGTGCAGCCATGTGGATGAGTCACGGCCATTGCTTGGCCAATGTGCTCTCTGTGAAAGCCTGAGAGAGTGTCTTCTCCCCATGTGACTCTCCTTAGGCCCACTCTACGTCATCAATCACTTTCCTCTTTGGCCCCATAATCTTCTTGATCAGAAAATTTGGGACACTACTGAGGTACATGACGTTACAGTAGAAGTTCTCATATGTCCTGAGTCTTAATTGACCTTAGAAGGCTAGGGCCAAAATGTTGGCTTTCCTTGTATCCCTAGGAGGAACTCTTGAAGACATTGGGGTAGGCAAAGAGTTCATGAAAAAAAATCAAATTGCACGGGAAACATTTGAAAGAATTAACAACTGGGACCTGCTCTTATTAAGAAGTTTTTGCACATCAAAAGAAATTACTAACAAAGTGAAAAGACAACCCATAAATTTGGAAAAAATCATGACAAATAAGTACTCAGACAAAGGTCTGCTCTCTAGAACTTATAAAGAACTAAAAAATACTAGGGCCCCAAAATTTAAAGACCCAGTCCAGAAATGAGCATCTGAGATGAATACATACTTCTCAGAGGATGAAATTAAAGAAGTAAATAAATATATGAAAAAATGCTCCACATCATAGCTATCTGTGAAATGCAAATTAAAACAACATTGAGATAGCATCTCACCCCAGAAAGGATGGCTATCATAAAGAAATCAACCAACAACAAATGTTGGAGAGGCTGTGGGGAAAAAGGAACCCTTCTCCACTGCTGGTAGGAAGGTAGACTGGTGCAACTGTTATGGAAATCAGTATGGAGACTCCTTAGAAAAGTTGGACTGGAAATCCCATTTAATCCAGCTATTCCTCTTCTGTGCATTATTTAAAGCTGACACCTGGTGGAGAACTACTAGTCTTCATTCCAAATTTTCTTTTGATGTCTTTTTTTTTTTTTTTTTTTTTTTTGTATTTTTTTGTATTTTTAGGGAAGGGTCTACAGGGTGTTTAGGGTCTCACTGCTAGATTGGACTCATAGTGATCTGCCTGTTTTCAGCCAAAAGCTGGGATTACAGGTACACATCACCATGCCCAATCTTAATTGACATCTCAGCGTGCCCTGGGGATGGGGATGGCACGGCGGGCCCAGGGATTGAACACTCAGCCCCTGTGTCCGCTTGTAGGTGCTTTAATCCACTGAGCTATTTGGCCTGCCCTCTTACAGTGTCTTGAAACCTCCAGTAACTGTGAGCTAAATAAACCTTTCCTTTTCTCATTTTGACTGTCAGGTATTTGTCCCAGCAATGAGAGAAGAGTAACTAAGACTAAGCTGGTTTCCAAAAATTAGGCAGTACTTCTAGTAGACATGCAGAGCCGGGTTATTTGTGTGTTTATTTATGAAGTATAGCCCATTTGTGAGTTGCATCAATTCTTTGGCTGCCCTTTATATGTAATTTCCTCAGCAAAAATCTGGGGATAAATGAGGGGGATCCAGGACCCTACTGATGTGTTTGTAGAAGTTGTACAACTTAAAAAATAGTTTATATAATGAATCCTTTGAAAAGAAAATACATACTTGGTTTCATTATAATCACCCTAATTTATGTTCTGTGGCATTGTTTCTATACTCCATTTTTATTATTTGGTGGAACGAGGGATTGAACTCAGGCCCTTGCGCTTGCCAAGAAAGTGCTTATTCTACTGAGCTATCTCTTCAGCCCCATACCCCATTTTTAAAGGGGAATCTTAATTCTGTGATGGAAAAGATGAGTCAGGTGTCTTTCTCCCCCAACCCTTCTTTCCTGGAGACTGAATCTATAACCATCCCTGACCTATATTCATAGCCCTTCTTTACAGTTTTGAGTTTGAGACAGGGTCTCCCTAAGTCTCTGAGTTTCCCAGGCTGACTTGAACATGCAGTCCTCCTGCCTCACCCTCCAGACTGCTGGAATTACAAGCATGAGTGTAAACATGCCCAGCTTGATGTTTTGTTTTTATTCATTTTTTTCCCCTAATTGGGCTAAAATTCCCATTTTGTATTGTTACATCTGGAATCTTCAAATGCTGTAATAATACTAAACACAACTGTTACAAAATCGTGGTTGTTCAGAAGCTTCCAAATGCCCCAGCCTCGGACAGAGAAAGCAGTTGGATGTGGTGGCAGTGGGATGCCCTTCATCACAATTCTTCTCTTGCTTCCTCCCAGCTCACAGGGGGAGTTTGAACACTGTAGGGTGGGATGGCCCATACTATGCCTTCTGTTTTCTGCTCTGAGAATCTGTACCCTAGGGTGGTTTAAAACTCAGATGGTGACATATAATCCGGGCTAATATCTTGGCTGTCTCTTCCCAGCTGGGTAAACTTACCAGTTTGTGCCTCATTTAACCTGAACTCCCAGTTGGTTGTGAGGATTAAATGACTCAATCGTTTATGTAATGTATTCAGAACCATGCTCGGTGGCAGTATATTAAAGGCTAAGTACACATGAGCTACTGATATTATTTCCTTCAGGCAGTGAACTGAAAGGTACCCAAGACAGAAAGAGCTGAAGAATTTGAAGCCACGGAGGAACCACTGCACCAAAATAGCTCATGCAGCCTTAACTACAGGAGATAACCTGCTGAGACAGAAGATGAGCCTGTGGAGAGGCCAGTGCCTGATGTGTATGTTGTTCTTAAGGTTAATACCCTAGGCAAACAAGCGATAGCCTCTGATAAATTCAGGTTCTCACACAAGCGAGACAATAGGATGTTTGCACATGTGGATCTGATTTATTTCACTTAATATTTTGTGCTTCCCTCCAAAAAATCAAAGCCATAATGAGAAAAGGGGCTTCATCATCATTTCTATATATTTTGGTAACAAATGAAATGGCTGTTGATGATGATAATAAACTACTATTCATAAAAAAATCTCTGATAAGCAAGAGCCATCTTACTCCATTTTGTGCTGCTAGACTGAAAGTCTTGAGACTATGTAAAGAACAGAGGTTGATTTCTCACCTTTCTAGATGCTAATGGTCCCAGATCCATACCATATGGAGGAGTTTTTGCTCTTCATCTCCTGGTGGGAGGTGGAGATAGGACACAGGGAGGGAGAGAGATAGGGAGGCAACTCACCTTTCCATCAAAAACCATTTTCTGTGAGAACCCTTCCCCCAGGTAACAGCATGGATTCAGCTAGGAGGGCAAACCTGGGGCAGGGGATACAGTCCATATGCAAGTACGCTTTTGTGAAGACAGAGCCAATAACATAGATGAAAAATCTCTTGACCAAGCTGGGATAATGATTCTTCCTTCAATACCTAATCACACTGGAAAGGCAAGGGACCCAAAGGGACCACAATTCTGGACCATTTCTAGTTGCTTATTCATCCAACAATTTAAACCACTAATTGTGCACTTACTTTGTACCAAGCACTGCAAAGCTGCAGAAGATCCTGTGATCTAGTTGAAGAAACAGAAGATTCACAGTTTTCTTCAATAGTTATTTACTGAAAACCTACCATGTCATAAGTTCTAAGCTCAGAGCTGGGTACAATGAACAAAGCAGACCACAGTCATTATTCTTAGGAAGCTTGCATTTCCAAGAAGAGAAGGATAATAAATGAAATTAGCATTATGTACATAGTCTCGCTGATGGTGAGAAATGCTATGGAGAAGCACACAGCTGGAGTGGGTTTGGGGGTGTTCCTGAGGGTGCATGAGCATTGTTTTTTATGTGGATAGTGAAGGAAGGCTTCATAATGAGGTGGACAACTGCAATCAGGAGACAAGGAAGAAAACTCGGTCCTTCCAACATCTCCTTAGCCCCTCTTTCAAATGTACAATCTGAGGGCAGAAATGTTACTTTTTCACGTCCATTGCACAAGGGACCATCTATGGATACTGACCCAGAGGAAATAATACTGCCCAAGTCCGTCAAGCAGGAAGCAATCGTTGAGCACCAATTTCCTTCCTCCAGCATTTCCTCAGCATCTAGCTCTCAAGGAGCTAAGAGGAAAGTCACACCATCCCTCACTCGCGCCTCACGCTCACACTAGGGATCCCCATGCAAGGGCGGCCGGGGACTTAACGAAGTGACCCATGGGCCAGCTGGTCACAACCTGCTGCAAGTGGCAGCCGCGGCGCCGCGACCAGGCGGGCAGGCAGCCCCCGCAGGTGGACTGGAGGTCGAACTCACGCTCCGGGGCCTCCAAAGCCCAGTCCCCGGCGGTGGGTGGCTCAGTTCTGCGCCGATGGCCCCGCCCCTCCCTCAGACTCGGCCCCGCCCTTCCGACCACGCCCCTCTCAGGCCCCGCCCACTGCCGGCTCCAGGGGCGGGGCCGAGCAAAGGTCGAGGGGGGCGCGCTCTCCGCTCCCGCAGTGTTGCCCCCGGCGAGGCGCGCGGCTCCTCCGACTGGGCGGGCGCGGACGGGAGCGCGCGGCTGCGCGGGACCGAGCGGCGGCGCGCGGTAAGTGCGCGGCAGTCGCGGGCTGCGGCCTCGGCTCCGGCTTCTTTTACGTTAGCCGTGTGTCCCGGGCCGCGGCAGCAGGGGCCGCGGCGCTCGGTCCCCGGAACGACCCGCCCTCTCCCTCCAGAGGCCGGCGCACCGCGGGCCCGTCGCGCCCCGGCCCTGGCCCGGTCTCCATCCCACCGGCTCGTCGTCCCTCACGCCCCGTCCCCGCCCTCTTGGTCGCGGCTGCTTCTTTCCCTGGACGTCGCGGTGTAGCTGGCGCCTTCTTTCTCCCGACACCTTCCCCACTCCTTTATTCCCGACCTTCCGGTGTCGCCCAGCGTGAGGCGAAGGCTTTCCCGGCCGGGGCGAGTGTGCGCGGGCTTGGGGTGCTCTGCCAGCAGCGATTCCCTATCGCCTTGGCAGCATGACGGTGGGCCCGGAGCTTGGGGCGGAGGACCGTCGCTCGGTGATCCGGGCCAGGGCCGGGCTGACTTTGATCATCTCGTGCGGCTTCATTTGGTCTTTTCGGGGGACCCTTGACTCGTCTGCACCTGAGAAGCAGACTGGGGTGGGGGACATGTATAGCTTTTAGGCGCTTGCTCTAGCCGTAACAAACCAAGCATCTACTCATTGAGCCCGAAAGAAACGGGGCTGAAAGTCTAGGAATCCCTGGAGTTGGAGACGCAGTTGAGTAAATGTGGAGTAAAATTAATCGTCTTCAAAATCCACCACTAACAAGATCTTATAATGGAAAAATGCCAGGAGTAATTGAGTCTGTCTCTCCCGCCAGTGCTGGGGATCCAACCCAGGACCCCACACGCGGTGAGCAAGGGCCCCACCACTGAGCAGCCCTCTGCCCATTTCTCTGTTCTTCCCAGGCTTTGTCCTGTTACTCTCTTCGGTTCCCAAAGCATTTGCTGCCTCCCTCAGCCTCCATCTTCAAGCTCAAACCGGCCTTGTGATTAACATTTGCTTCTTTGTTTCACACCGATTTTTATTCTGAGAATATGTGGAGAACACCTTTTGTTTGGCTTATTAAAAATGGGCTCAGTACTGGACTGCAGCCAGACGATAAAGTGTCACATCTCTTTTAATACACTGCATTTCACTTTGTAATTTAGAAAAACAAAAATAATTCAAATTATGTTGATGTTATTAGCAATAACTGAAGGACACAAGTATAGTAATGTCTCATTTCCCTAGAGTGGAGAAATAATAAGCCTTTTGTTGCAGTGATTTTTTTGTTTCCACCATAACAAGTTTACCCTTTTTAAACACGTGTTAACTGTACAGAATGAATCCTGTGTAGCCCAAATTAGAAAAAGATGGGCAGAGATTAGAGCAGGTTGGTTAAGGGCACCAGCTGTGGAGTCCAGGGGCTCTCAGGTGGAATACTGCCTGATCACTAACTCTTTAGGTGACATGGGAGGCCCTTCAGTCTAAGACCCAAGAATTGGACAAGTTGAGTTCACTGCTCCTTGCAGCAAGGGAGACCTTATCATAGGTGACTTGGGAGGGAGTATGTAGGGAAAGGGACCTTGCTCTGGAATAGGTTGTCTGGAAGTGGAGAAAATTCCATTATCTCAAACCTCCCTATGTCTTGACTAACAGGGCAACATGAGACTAAAGCTGTGCTTGATCAAGAAGCAGCAGGTCTTCATTAGCAGGCTGGAATGAAGGTGGTATTAGGTCACTTTTGTGATTTGGACAAAGTCAGTGTTTGGTCCATGCAGTGATCTCATTTTTGTCTTGATTCATGGTTACAGACTGAGTGGTCTTGTGTGACATTCATGCCCTGTGACATTGCTCACATCCTCAAGAGCTGGCTCCCAGCAGCACCAGTGCCCAGGCATCAGGGCTGCTTCTGTCTTTCTCCTGACCTTGGGCAAGTTCCTTGATATCTTTAAACTTGTTTCTACTTTGTTGTGAAAAATTAAAGGAAGAAATGGTGTAGTGGATTGCTAACTGGTGGTCAACTTGTTATACCCATATAAATTGAACTAGCATGGTGCTGTGCGTGGGAGGCCCACCTGAGGATTGTTACTAGCAGTATAAGAAGCAGAAAGGAAAAAGCTGTTGAGAGGCTGTTAGGGAAGCAATTTGTTCTCTTGGGCTATTCTGCTGGAGGACTTTGTTATGCTGGCCTTGCTGATGAACTTGGCTCTTCTTGTTGGAGGAGGAGCTTGGGACCAGCAGGACAAGCTGGGAATCAAACCCCAGCCACTGTGCTGTACCTGAGCAGGTGTTTTAATCCGCTGAGCTATTTGGCTGGCCTTGGCTGTGGTACTTTTACAGGGGGCTTTGGTTCTTAACTTGAGGGTTGCTTGCTGGATCCAGTTCATATCTCTTAGGCTGCTAGCACAGATTGGTGAAGCAGGTCTGCATGAGACACTGTTGTGGGCTCTAGGCCTCCAATTTGATTTGTGAGAGGCATTGTTGGTGGGCTCTAGGTTATCAGCTAGACTTATGCAGGATATCAGGATCTGGGCTTTTAGCTGGATTCTTTGGTCTTTAGTGTATGGACAGATTTCCTGCACTTTTTGTATATGATTCTTTGGGTGATTATAAAGTAATCTTATAAAATGTGTCCTGTGTTTTATTATTCCTCTTGGAAAACCCCAAACCACAACAAATGGAAACAACATAAACCAAATTCCTGGCACACAGAAAGAGCTCTTCTGGAGTATGTGGTATTGAGGTTCTTCTACAAAACTTTTGCAGTCCAGGCTGAGAGCTGTTGTGACGTTCTGCATGGGATGTGACAAAGAAATATTCCCTTGTAATTCAAAGGCTTAGTGTTTCTGTAACTCTGAATAACTGTTACCAGGCACTGGCGGTTATAGTATCTTCTGACATCATTACTTTAGGGCACTGGTGACAAACCTATGGCATGCGTATTGTTTTTCTTTTAAGACAAAAGCTATTAATATAAGGGTTTTTTTTCCTAAGCTGTCTGAATTCAGTGTTCAGGTTAAATTGCAGTGTTGGCACTTTGCAATAAATAAGTGGGTTTGGGGTTGCAGTTTGGCACTTGTCTCTATAAGGTTCACTGTCACTGCCTTGGGGACCACTTTTTTTGGGGGAAAGGATTGGGGATTGAATCTAGGGGCACTCTACCACTGGACTATGTGCACCCTCCCCTATTTTTTTAATTTTGAGGCAGAGTCTTTTCACGTTGCCCCAGCTGGCCTTCAACTTGCAACCTTCTGCTAGGAGGCTTCATTTAAGATTTGTTGTTCTCACAGGCAAGTAGCTCTACTAGGCCGTGTGCTTTCTAGCTTTGAGTGCCCTCTTGCTACCTTGGTCTGTTCTCTCCAGGTCTCTCGTCTGGGAGTGTGATTCAAGTGCTAGCATATCCTTGCCTCATTCACTGTGGCTCTCTGAACTGTTGTCTGCTTTGAGCTGAGCGATTGTATAAGCAGTGTTTAACATTTTTAGACAGGGCCTCATTGTATAGTCCAAGCTGGCCCAGAACTTGCTGTTGTACCTTGAACTATTTCCAAACTATTAATCCTTCTGTCTCAACCTCTAAAATGCTGGAATTACAGGTGTCTACGACCATGCATGGCTTGTTTGCTAACATAATTCTTGAAACTTCAAATGATAACCTAGGACAGTGATAGTGAACCTATTGCACCTGTTCTGCAGCCAGCTGTTATCATTGAAAGCTCCAAAGGTTCACCATCACTGGCCTAGGATCTGTGTAGCACCTGGGAAGTTCTGCACATTTTTGGCAATGCTTGATTTAAGCTTGATCTTATCTGTGGCTGTTTTTATCTACCATCAAATTGGAGCACTGTAGAAATTTGAATCCAAGTTGACTTTTGTTTAGTTGAAACACTGTGTGTCTGGATCAGGCAACGTGGATTTTAGATCCTTCATTTGGACCTTCACATGTTACTTAATCTTCTTGGCTAGACAAGTTCTTTACATGTTGAAGAATGGTGATGCAGTGTGCTGCTGCTACCATCACCTGGTAAATTATTACATTAAATTTCCAGTCTACATTTTGGCTTATGTCCTTATTACATCAAAGTTCCTAGGAACAACAACAACAACAAAAAACACTAAAAAATGAACCAAAGATACTTTCTCTTTTTTTGAGACAGAGTCTCACCATGTAGCCCAGGCTTGCCTTGACTTCATGGTGACCCTTCTGCCTGAGGGATACTAGGATCCTTGAGTGCGATGATTACAGGTGTGTGACATTGTGCCTGGCCACCAGTATTTTTTAAATAAAGGAAATATGAAAAGTCTTTTATGTGACAGATGATTGATTTCATTTGTATTAAAATAACATAATTCTACATTGAGATTGCACTTCTCATCTATCAGGCTGGCAGAGGTCCAAAGTCTGATAATGTGTGGTTAGTAAGATGGATACATACATTGCTGGGGAGACTGCAGCCAGGTACAACTCTTAGCAGTGATGGTGAACCTTTTAAAGGTGCGTCCCCAAACTGCAACCCAAACCTGCTTATTTATTACAAAGTTCCAACACTGCAATTCAACCTGAATACTGAGGTTTTAGCTTAGGAAAAACAACTCATACATTAATATCTTTTGTTTTAAAAGAAAAGCATAATAGTGTGTGTGTGCTGTATGTTCACTGCCACTGTAGGTTACAGATACAACTGCCCATCTGTCTAGCAGTCCCTCTTGTAGGAATCCACCCTTCTGGGGCTGGGGAGATAGCTCAGTAGAATAAGTGCTTGCCTGGTATCCACCCTCCAGGTATACTTGCTCATGGAGAAGACATAGATATGGAGATAGTTGATAGTATTATTTTAAATAACAGAAATTTAGACATAATCAAGTTCTGAGCAATTAGGACAAGTAATCTGTCCACTGGAGGGAGCACTGTGTAGATCTGTAAAGAGGAATGTAGGAGCGTAGCTGTAGTACTTTTATAGGGAGCTTACAGGAAGCACTGGTTATTATCTTGAGGGTGGCTTCTGGGTCCAGTTTACATCCCACAGTCTGTAGGAACATGGAGTGATCCTTGAGAACATGTTAGGTAACAAAAGCCAAGGTGCAGAACAGTATAGACGCCTGATTACTTGTATTTGTATAAAGCAACATGAAGGTAAAATAATTGAACTGAAGAGAAATAAATGGGAAGACAGGACCAGGACATGGGCGGGAATGGGATTTTTCGGTAGATATTCTTTTACATAGTTTAGATGTTTGTGCTCTGTAAGTGCATTATGTATTTTTAAAAAAATTATTTGCATTTATTTTACACTTAACTTATTCCCATGCTGTAAGTTTTTGTTTCTTCAGTTTCATCTGGGAGATCTTTTTCTTCTGTGCAACTTTCTCCTCTGGTTTAGGAACAGTTTGTTCCTTTTCAGTAAGGATCATCTCAGAATAGCAAGGGGAGCTCATGGATGGGTTAATCTGACCATAAGCTCTGTGCGCACGGTGGCACATCGTGGGTGCTTTGTTCAATAACCAGAGAATCTACATCTAAATCCTTAAGTTCAGCGTTACTCTCTGCATTTTTAAGCATGTGCAGCAAAAATTCAGCACTCTTTTTGGGCCACCGACCCTACGTCCAGCTCCACTGTTTGGCCTGGGCACACCTACCAACTCCATCACTGTAATGCCAGAATGGCACATTTGCTCCTTTAATGTGACATCCTTCAGAGATTTGGAGGCCTTTGGATATGCATCCTCTTGATGGCCTGAGCAGTTTCATTTGTGTTCTTAAAGTGAATGCGAAGATTTGAGCCTCTTGATTTTCATGATTTTGTGGGGTTTTCTGAGTTAAGAGAGTAGCGATCCTTTCTCACAGGTCACCTCAGGCCGCTCACAGGAAGAGGAAGGGTGGTGGTTTCTGGGAGAGCTCATGCATTATGTATTGATATGTAATGATGGAAGAAAAGCCTTTAACTTCAGCTTCACTATGAGAATAATTTCAGAGTCTCATTATTGAATAAGACTGATTCTGATAAAAACCTACAAAGCAACAGGTGCCGCCAGTAATTCTCCCTAAAGCACCCTACCCTGTCAAGAAGGCAAATTGACTGTGTTTTGATGTTAGGTGAAAAACATTAAAAATTAATTTAGGCATTCTTTTTTTTACCCCGTACTCCCTCTGAGGATGACAGATATCATTACTAAGGCTTTGGTACCCTTAGCAGATGGGTTTTGTTTTGTTTTGCTTCTTAGTTGCAAGACTGAGTCTGCTTCTACAGAGACCTCTTTGAACTGAAGGCAAGCCAGGTACTCTCTTTCAGCTTGTCCCAGAAAAGAGTGTAGAAACCACAGAAATGGAGATCCTAAAAACAAGGGTTGATTGAGGCAGATGGTGCTGTGGCTATTGGACCTGCAGGGTGAAGTCCCACAGGTCACTGGGGAGACTTTTGTTAAAGTTCTTTCCTTGTGTTTGGAAAAATAAATCCTGCACCTCAACCCCCAGGGCAATCACAGCATTACTGTCCTGTTCTCATAAGTCTGCTTCTTTTGCATCCCCCTCTGGTGCTGGCTTCTCCAACTATCCATCTGAGCTTCTGGAGGAATCCTAAGGCTCTTCTTTCTCCTCACCCCTCTCCCCACCCCATGGTATCGCTTCTGTCCTGAGGCCACTGAAGAGCATTTCTTGGTGATTTCTAATTGTTTTCCCTCCCTCTCATTTCTTACTTTACTTCTAAAAAAAAAAAATCTTACCATTCTGGCCACTTTGCTCTCTAGTCCTGTTCTCCTGTGACTCTTGCCATCCTGGCTCCCTGCAGGGGACACACAGGCCTTCAGGCCCTTGTCTGGGGCCTCCTTATCCCCATTCCTGGCCATTTTTGACTGTGGAACCCTGTACTCCAATGCAGGAGTCACCTCTAAGCTTGATAGTCTATTTGAGGACTATGATGTTTAAGCATAAAACTTGGTTGTAAAAGATTATTTAAAAAAAAATTCTTGTTTTTTCCAACACAGCAGTTTCCCTGGGGCTAGCAGGGGCTCTCTGGTGACCCATCCTGCCTTCCTCTGTCTTGCCCTTCTCCCCACCACCTCCTGCTATCTCTGCTCCTGCAGTTGTGCCTGCTCTGGTTTCTTCAGATGGCCTATAGATGTGTCCTAGAACCACTGACTTCAGGAGGGCTGCTGTGACCTTGTGTTTCTCTCCAGTTGGAATTATATATCTTTTCTTGATTCATTCTACAGTAATCTAGGGCAATAGCTAACAGGAAATCTATTTCTTATTCAGGCTACCAAACTAGTAGCTCATTAAGGAAAAATATTAATATTTTAGAAACTTCTAAGTGCTAAAATATAGTATCTGGATATAGTAGTGCTCAAGAATAGTTAATAAATGATTCAACCAGTGTTCTGGTAAATGAATGAGTTTACCAGTGAATTAAGTGGCAGATTCTTACACTTAACATTGTGAGAGGATAATTATTGATGAGAGCTTGCACTTGTTCATTGACTCCTTGCTGTTCATGGTTTCAGAAGAGAATTGATTATTTTATTTTATTTATTTTTTTGGTGGAGCTGGGGATTGAACTCAGGCCTTTGCACTTGCAGGGAAGTGCTTATTTTATTGAGCCATCTCCCTGGTCCTATTTTTTTTTATTTTAAAGAGAATAAACAATAAAAATGATACAGAATTTCAAGACAGGAATTTCTTTCCCCATTTTAGAATCTCTTTTTTTAAACTTTCCATTTTACTGTTAATATACAAGTGTCCTGCCAGGCCAGAACTGTTTCATAATAGTCTGAGAAAAGGTACTTTAGAGAAGAACTAGGTAAGGAGAATGTTTTCTGACATCCTTCGAGAAGTTCACATTAAAAGTGGATTGAAGGGGCCGGGGAGATGGCTCAGTGGAATAAGCGCTTCCCTGGCAAGCGCAAGGGCCTGAGTTCAGTCCCTGTGACCCAGTAACCATGCCAAGCACCAGGGGGCACATACAGATATGATGTACCTCTTGTCCATTAGGCATTTCTTTTTTTTTTTTTTTTTTTTTTGGGTGGAACTGGGGATTGAACTCAGGCCCTTGTGCTTGCCAGGCAAGTGCTTATTCCACTGAGCCATCTCCCCGGCCCCCATCAGGCATTTCAATTTGACCATGGAGAGGTTTTTTAAAAAAATTATTTCAGTTTTTACTTTTGTGTAATAATTTTTCATATATATGTGGTATGACATTTATATATGTATACATATTCTGGCTGTGGCCAGTTTGTGTATTATGAATTATTTATGACTTTATTTGTGTTTCTGCTGGAGTGTTCTAAAACTGGGTTGTAAAAATTTTTTAATTTTTGCTCTTTGCAATAAATATTAGAAGCATTTTCTCAGATTGCCATTTGTCTTTCTAAAGACATTTCTCACTCTACAATTGTACAGATATTTCTTTGTTTTTCCTACTTTTTTGTTTTTATTTTTTTTCCTCAGAGAAACTTCTAGAACATTGCTCTGGTGTATGGTATGAGAGGAGTCAGATTTTATTTTTTCCAGATGGTTAGCCTGTTTTTCCAACACCATTTATTAAATAACCTTTATTTCTTCCACTGAATTTATAGTGCTTTTCAACCTTTCAGTGTGTCTCTTATTTTTCTTTCAGCTGAAGCATGACCATGCCTTTACGTCTGGGTTAAAAAGTAATCACTAGTTACTTTTCATTTTGGAGTAGGAAGAGTCACACAGTGTCAAGAAGAGACACCTTTGACCTTTCAGAGAACTATAGTTGTCCTTAGGTATCTGCTGAAGGATGGCTTCCAGGGTATCCCTTTAGATTTCACAATTTCCACAATCCTTGGATGCTCAAGTCCTTTATATAAAATGATACACTGTTTGCGTATAACCCATTTTCATTCTCCAGTATGTGTATTTTAAATCACCTTGCAGTTTAATACAATACCTAATGCAGTGTAAGCAATTGTTACAGTATATCATCTAGAAATAATGCAAAAAGTTACGTATTTAATATAAGTGAATGTTCTTTTTCAAACATTTTCAGTCTGTGGCTGGTTGAATCTCTGACAGTGAGTGTTGTTCAGCAAATATTCTTAGTTCTTTGCCTTCCAAATGCTTGGTAAGATTGCATTTCTGGAACTTTATGGTTGGTGAAAGCTATGGGACTTGCTCTGGTAAGTTGTAAATGAGTACTCCTTGAGTCTGCATTGGGCTATAGCATTTAATTGCTAGTGCAAGAACTTCCAGAACTTACTTTCCTGGTATATAATGACTGAATTGTTCAATATGGTGGCTTTCTCTTTGGTTTGAATTTCCTTTTCCTTCTTTCCTTTCCTTTTTTTTTTTTTCTTTAAATGCATTTAGTACAGGGTCTACAGGGTCTCACTACACAGATCGATTCTTAGTGATCCTCCTGTTATCAGCCTCCCAAGTCCTGGGATTACAGATCTGCGCCACGACGCCCAATCTCCATTGCCTTCTCAGTGTGCCTCTCCACGTGCCCTGGGGGTAGGGCCACCTCAGCACACCTGGGATTGAACCCTGGTCCCTGCACCTGCCTAAGCAGACAGTTTAGTCCACTGAGCTATCTGGCTGGCCCTGGTCTGAGTTTCTGAATGACTACAATAAACAAAGCCTTCTTGTCTGCCCCCATAATCACACCTTAGGAACAAATGCATCTTTATTGTTGTATATCATTAAGTTTTGGGTTTTTTTTTTCTTCGTTTTTGAGCATAACCCAATGATCCTGACTAATGCACATATTCTTTTTCACTATATCATTTAATTTATTATCAGCTGAACTCAAGCTAGGGGGTTTCTTAGGGAGGAGAAGATGCTGTTGCATGTGAACTGCTGAGACTAGAGAGAAATGATAATTTTAGGACTAAAGATACACAAAAATTTCGTTTGATTTCAGGATACCTTAATTTTTTCAGGTAATCTGGAGCCTCAAAATGTTTGCTAAAGCAACAAGGAATTTTCTTAAAGAAGTTGATGCTGGTGGTAATCTGATTTCAGTATCAAACTTGAATGACTCCGATAAGTTACAGCTTTTAAGTCTGGTGGCCAAAAAGAAGAGATACTGGTGCTGGCAAAGACCCAAGTACCAATTTTTATCTGTCACTCTTGGAGATGTACTCACAGAGGACCAATTTCTCAGTCCAGGTATGTTTCCTATATTCTATAATTAGTTCCAGAACAGAAAATGGACCTTCTAGATATGTGTTGTCTAGAATCAATATGATATATTATAATAAATTCTACTTTTTGTTTGCATGCTGTCTCAAAAATATCTTTTCAAAAAAATACATCTTTCTTAAAATTAACAAACTTCTGCATGCTTGCCATGAAAAGTTATAGCTTCATGTTTTGAAAATAATTTTTCTTTCTTTTTTTTTTTTTAGTACTGAAAATTAAACTCAGGACCTTGTGCTTGCCAGGCATATGCTTATGCTGCTGAGCTATCTCCCCAGTCCTAGTTTTTCAGTTTTGGTGTAAAAGTCAGCTATACTACAAATTGTGGTACCTATGTGTAATCCCAGCCACTTAGAAGGCTGAGGCAGGAAGAACAAAAGTTGGATGCAAGTCCGGGTTATTTAGGGAAACTCTTGTCTCAAAATAAAAAATTAAAAAAGGCTAAAGGGGCCAGCAAGATAGCTCAGCAGACTAAAGTGCCTGCTTAGGCAAGTGCAGGGACTGTGGTTCAATCCCCAGCACCACATGCTGTTCCATCTCCACCCTTAGAGTGGGCTGAGCCGGCCACAGAGTCCCGTCGTGGTGGCGTGCACCTATAATCCCAGTGCTAGGGAGGCTGAAAACAGGAGGATCACAATGAGTCTGAGCTGCATAGTGAGACCCTGTAACAACCAAATACAGAAAAAAAGAAGGCTAAAGATGGTATTTTAGAGCTGTTTGGGTTCATTCCCCAGTGTAGGGGAAAAATGCGCCTTGTAGATATTTAGTGTAAGTGGAATGGTTGCTCTGCCCAGAATTTGGCTCCCTATTGATATGGATGATGCCACATACTGATGAAGGGAGTGTGGGTAGTGTCATTACTCACATAGTGGTGCTTTTTGGAGAATGTCAAACAGGCTCCAAAGCTGGTATAAAATGGCTACAGTGAGGCAGGTAAAGAGATAGGTTTGGCTGTTACTGTAATTAATGATGAAGTATTCTTGTGTATGTTGGGTTGGTGTTTGTGTGGTATAACTTTCACTGGCAGCAGTGTGGGGAACACTCAGGCTTCCTTATCAGTTTGTTTAGATGTACAGTGGAAAAAGAGGAAGTGGAGGGTTTGAAAGCAGCTAGTAGAAGACTACAAAAATGGATTGGACACAAATGGATCGTAGTACAGTCAGGCATTGCATGGCATTTCAGGCAGAGCTGATCTGTAAAGATGATGGTCCCTTAATAATGCCTAGCGACATCTTGGCCTAGTTTGTGAAGTGCACTCTATGATTTTGGTACAATGATAAAATTGCCTAAAGATGCATTTCTCAGAACTTGTTAAATGATGCAACAGCATAAGTAGGTAGGTGTCATTAATGATCCTAATTACAAAGGAAAGTGAGGTTCAGGGAGAAGACTGTTTTCCAAGGTCTCCCATTTAGTGATAGTAGAGTAGGGAAATAATCTTAAACTCTTTGTGTACATACCATCCTACTTTCAAAAGCATTCCTCAAAGTGTCTGCAGCCTACAAGCCGTTAGCTAGAAAGGGCTTCTTCCTATTCCTGGTGGTAGTTAAGTGGATAGGGAGAATGTAAATTGCAAAGTTAGTGAGATTGCTTATTAATAGTGTCCAAAGAATGGGTTTTCTTGACTGGAATCAAAGAAATACAGCTGTTGGGATAGTGTGTACATGGCAGCAAGGCTTTCAGACTCTGGTGGTTTTCAGGTCTTTGAGGAGGGCCATCAGGAGTGGAGATGAACTTTGGGTCACAGTAGAGGGAAAAAGGCAATTGTGAAGTTTCTAGCAAGAGTTTTATTGCACTGTGGTACCACTTGTTGCCCAGGTGGATCTGAAACTTAAAGGCTCAAGTGATTCTCCTGCCTCAGCATTCCAAGCACTAGGAGGACTACAGGTGTGCACTACCACACCTGGCTACCAGCAGTCTCTTAATATAGCTTCACTGAGTGTATTTTTATGGTTGAACCTGCTTGGATTAAAATTGAGAAAAGTGACTTGGTATTGTAGCTCAGGGGTAGAGTCAGTGCTTGGCATTGTGAAACTCCGGGGCTCAATACTCAGCATCAGGGGAAAAAATAAAGAGAGGGAATGTAGGAACCTGGAGACATGAGGAGGCTAACAGTTTGTGTGACGTCTTGAGAGTCGTGTTTAGGGTTCAGACACAAAGGGTGGATCTTGAAGGCACTCTGGTAGCTCCCATCTGAGAACTGCATGGCAGTTCTCAGTTGACTCAACTGAAGCTGGGATAGCAGGTGGTGGAGACATTCTTTAGCATCTGGGAATCCAGGAGGGAAAAGAGTCTGGGGCTAATGTGCTCCAGGATAGTGACTGAGGGGCCAGGCATGTCAGCAGATTTTTATCAGGAAGAAATAAGGAATTGCATGATAAGCAGTCTGACGGGCTAGAGGTCAGGTAGGAAAACCTAACCTGGTAATGAGGGCCAGGACATTGTTCTCCAAGGCTGGTAGGCAGGAAGGCCCAATGTCCATGGTGTCCAAGGCGAGGTCCAGGTGGACCGACCAGGTGCTTTCCTTGTAGGTGTGTCTAGTGGGAGTTCCTTTCCAGCCTGCACCCTGGCAAAGCAAACATTTAAATTGGTCAATTTCTTCAACATGTGGTAGTTAAGGAGATATTTACTTTGAAATAATTTGCTGAACTTTGTAGGTATTTTTTTGGTACTTTCCTATACATATTTGAATTGAAAAATGACAATATGTAAAAGCAACAGAGAGAGCCTGGGCAGTGGGGTATGCCCTTGCTCAGCACTGGGGTGGGCTGCAAGCCCTGTTTTGCTCTGTTTTCATTTGGCTGCTGGCTGAATGATTCCCAAGGCTCTGTAGGAGTGGGAACCTGGGTGGCCCAAGACATAAAGGTGGCCTTGTTGTCTTCAGGTCCTGTGCTCTATGTGTTCCAGTGGTTGTGGAATCAGACTTCGTGAAGTATGAGGGCAAATTTGAAAACCATGTGAGTGGGAGCATCGAGACTGTGCTGGGCAAAATCAAGCTGAATGTGGGAGGCAAAGGCCTCGTGGAGAGTCAGTCTTCCTTCGGGACCTTGAGGAAGCAGGAGGTGGACTTGCAGCAGCTCATCAGAGACTCCGTGGAGAGGTAACAGGAATTCTGTTTGGCATCTTGGGTTTGGACACATCTCCTGTTTAAAGGTCATTCCCTCAGACCTTTGTTAAAAGGATGACAGATGCAACCTTTTCCAGCCAACAAATGTTTATTGAACACCAGTTGTGCTGAACACATTCTGTATTCTAGAGCTCTTTGACTGTTCTTAGCCTGAAGGTAGGAGCACTTTGAAAAGATGTTATTTTGGGAACATTTCTGCTTCCTTCAGTCCTGTGAATTATAAAATGCCAAAGTGGAAAGGCACACTCTTGCATTTTTGAATACTAATGTCAGTAGCAGGAAAATCACAGCCCCTCATGGCTATTCATCCTTTCCTCACAAGGAAGACAGAAAGTGAGGGACTTGAGAGGAATAGCTACTTTCTAACTTGGACATCTTTAAAAAAAAAAGCTTTTTAAAAAATGATTTATTATTTATTATGTATTTGGTACAAGGTCTTGCTATGCAGCTTGGACTCACTGTGATTCTCTCTCTCTCTCTCTCTTTTTTTTTTTTTTCTGGCAGAACCAGGGATTGAACTCAGGCCCTTGCTCTTACCAGGGAAGCACTTAGTCTACTGAGCCATCTCCCTGGCACCTCTACTGAGCCATCTCCCCTGCTCCACATTGTGATTCTCTTGTCTCAGCCTCCCTTAGTGCTGAGATTACAGATATGTGCCACCAAGCCTAGTTTCAGTGGTTAGTATGGTGTGCCTGGGGTTCTGGGGCTAGCATGCCATGCTGTACGAGGGATTGAACCCAGGTCCTTGCACTTGCCAGGCAAGTGCTTAGACCATCAACTATCTCCCCAGCTTCCAACTTGGACATCTTGAACAGGACCCCACCCTGACTCTTGGCTTTCAGTAGAAATGTTCTGTCCCAGGGTAATGCATCACTATTTACCTTGTTTGTTCAACATGTGACAGGGTGGTACTATGTTTGTATCATATGCTGTTCTGTGTGCTGAGAGTGCAGGGAACACAGTGTCATAATTTCTGTTCTACATTCTAGTAGGGAAAGACATGAGATATGTAACTAAAATGTGCTGTAGGTTGATGGGATCTGTGACATGGAGAAAAATATGTGGGGGGGTGCTAGGAGTGAGGGCTGTGATCCACACAGCCAAGCCAGAGCAGGCGTGCTGAGAATTGGCAGTAGACAGACCAGAAGGAGGTGGGATGAGCATGGTACACCAGGCAAAGATGTTGGGCATGGCGGTCAGGGTGACTGCAGCCCCATGAGCCAGAGCAGGATGGGGAGGCAGCTGGGCAGCACGACCAGCAGGACCTCGGAGACCACTGGGGAGATGTTTACTTCTATGGGAGTGAGGTGGGAAGGCCTGGAGGAATTCTGAGCAGAGAAGTGACAATTTGGAAAGATCAGCCTGGCCAGTGGGTTGAGGAAAAACTGGATGGACAGAAGCCAGCTGAGAAGTTATTGCAGTAATCCGTTGAGATGGTATTTCACTTTATACAGTACCATATGTGCATTTTCATGTGTAATTTTATCACCTTTTTTTCCTTTTAAGATAGAAGGTTCCAATCCAAATGAATGAAGCAAAAATAGGTGGCTTTTAAATATAAGTGGCTTTTCTCCTCTTTTGCAATATTCTTTTTTTGCAATATTCTTATAAAATATAAAATATGAACTATGTGCTCATTAAAATTATGTTTCAAAATTTATAAAATACCATAAAACACACTCATCAAGAATTTGGTGGGTGGCTTTTGTATAGGTTGGGCAGCTGTGGTCTTCAAAACTGATGTACCTCTGCAGTAAGTGCCCAGGGCTAATGGCGTCAACAGACCGCGGTCATATATGTGTGGCCTCCTGGTTTCCTCTGGGACTCTGACTCCACGGAGTTAGGAAGCCACCAGGAGCTCCCCTGCTGGTCAGGGAACTTCAGGCACTCTTTGGAGGCACCAGGTGGAAAGCAGTCACCCATACCTCCGGCTGTCGCGATCTTCATTTTCCTTTAGTGCTTTTCTTTGCTACAGAAGCAATTTTATCCTGTACTACGATGCTAACACACATTAGAAAAGTACTTGCCTACTGATTTAAAATGTAACTGTGAAATCTGGTGACACTTTTCCCTGGAAAAGGAAAACAGAAAAGTGGGGGAGTCTGAGGATTCTTCTTTACTCCCTTAGTCTTTACTAGCCCATTTTAACTATTTCTTGAAGTCATGTTATTTCTGTTTCAGGAACCACACTTGGGTAGTGCTCTTATTTATTTAGTATTTTAGGGAAGGGTCTACAGAGTGTTCAGGGTCTCACTAGTAGATTAGACTCATAGTGATTCTCCTGTTTACAGCCTCCCAAGAGCTGGGATTACAGGCACCCACCACGCCCATTCTCAGTTGCTGTTTCAGCATACCTGGGGGCAGGGCTCTATAATCACGTTTTCTGAAAAGTATTTTTGGTACTGGGACTTGAACTCAGGACCTTGTGCTTGCCAGGCAGGGGCTGTGCCGCTGAGGTATATCTCCAGTCCATGATAACGTTTTTTGATACAGGCTTTAAAACACTCTTCATGTTCCAGGTGTAGAAGCCCTTGCCAACTTGGAAGCATATGGGGCAGGACCCATGAGGGGGGATGAGAGAATCCATTCTGGAGAGAAAGAAGCTGGAGCCAGCAGCTGTACGAGGGGGAAGAAAGGAACACATGTGCCACACCTACTACTGTGTGCCAGGCAATTTATGTGCATCATCTGATTTCCTGTGCACAGCTATCTTCTATTTGTGAGAGAGCTAAGGCTCAGGATGGTAAAATAACTTTCTTCTAGGCACAGAGCTCAGTTGGGTGCTAGAGCTGAGATTTCCTATCTCCAGATCTCCTGTTCTTCCCTCTAAATCATACTTGGAGTGACTGTGAAGAAAGGAAATTGGCAGAGGAAAACATAGTTAAAATGATAGCACAGAATGTAAAGGTAGAGGCGTGCGTCTGAGCCGCTGTGAAGATGGCAGTGGTGAAGAGCAGATTCCGCCCTGTCCTGAGCAGGCACATGGGAATGATGAGGCCCGTGCACCCAGCAGTGCCAGGCTCAGGCTTGACCTCCCCTTGGAAGACTCTTCAGGAACCCTGCTAATTGCAGAGGTGAGGAGGAAGGGATGGCTGGGGAATGGCAGCCCTGAAGAATGCTGAAGAATAGAGGTCATGAGCTAGAGCAGTAGTTTAGTGGGAGAACATGTGTGCAGAATGCACCCAAGGCTCTGGGTTCAACTCCCAGGTCTAGAAAAAGCATAGAAATGCCAGAGGTGCTGGAGGTGAATTATTGCAAAGAGCTAAAGGTGAGCTATGGGGGTTGTGGGGAGGAATGACTCTCTTAATCCTGGGATGGGCATCTGGAAAACTAGCAGTCTTCTGACTTCGTGCTGGAGTAATAAATTCTTATCCATCATCTGCCTAACTTTGGACTCCTACATCAGCAGGCTTGATAAGGTGCTGTTAATACACATGTCTCGGGAGTGGCAATTAGTGATGCTTATGTACTCTGTGTTCTCTGCAGAGTTTACTTGCAGTCAGTCATTTTTATTTCAGGTCATTTAGATAAGTTATCATCTGTATACAATTTATTTAATTCCTCAAAAATCTGAGTACTAGGTATGGGGATGTAGCTCAGTGGTAGAGCAGTTGTCTGCATGAATGAGGTCCTGGGTTTGATCTGCAGCATGGAAGAAAAAAGCAAAATGAAATAAACTCTCAGCATTGATTTATTGCCTGTGAGAAGTATGCACATCTCAGAAATAAACTTTATCTATCCTTGAGAAAACAAACACATGGATGCATGACATTTAGCATTTGGGGGCACAGAACTTTCCACTGGAATTAACCTTCTAGAGACCTGAACTGATTGTTTTGAAGGAGCAGTGCTCTAGGTTTGTTTTAAACTTTCTTAATGGAAATCAGTCTAAGATATATTGCATGCTTGCTTTTTTTGAAGGAGGAGGAGGATGAGAGGGTGTTTATGGAGACTTCTCTCTCTTTATTTCTCTCTCTCTCTCTTTTTTTTTTTTTTTTTTGCGGAACTGGGGTCTGAACTCAGGACCCTGTGCTTTCCAGGCAGGCAGTTATTCTATTGAGCTATCTCCCCAGCCTGAGACTTCTCGTAGTGACTCAGATTCATGCTTCAGTCTTAACATCCAGTAATATTCTGTAACAAATGTTACAGACTTTTTCTTCCATCACCAGGTACCACTTGTCTCTCACTACTTTAAGTATACTAGCCCCTGATGGGTGTGTGGTGTATGTCTGTAATCCCAGCACTTGGGAGAATGAGGTAGGACAATTGCCATGAGTCCAGGCCGGCCACATGTCATCCCAGCTCTGTGGTTGGTTCATTGCCTCTAATTTCTCTGGACTGGGGAAATTTATTCCTTGTAAATAACTTACATGGACTTGGTAAATCACACCAGCCATTGGCCTCAGTTTCTCTGGCTGCAGGGTAGGTAGATGGACTCCTGCTGTCTTGATAAGTAAACCATGGAGTACATACCCACAGCTTGTCCTTGAGTTCTGGGCCCTGGGTCTAGCAGCTTGCCAGCCATGGCATGTCATTGGGGAGTTCCCTTAGAAGTGGCTCACCATGGGCCAGTGAGATAGCTCAGCGGACTAAGTACCTGCTTAGGTAAGCACAGGGACTGGGGTCTATTCCCAGCACCATATGCGGCGCTGGCCCTGCCCCTGAGTGTTCTGAGTGACTCACAGAGACTGGGGTTGGTGGCACATGTCTATAATGTCAGTGCTGGGGAGGCTGAAAACAGGAGGGTCACTATGAGTTTGAGCTGCGTAGTGAAATCCTGTACAAAATACATTAAAAAAAAAAAAAAGAAAGCTCACTAGCCCAAAGTAATCCAGTTCTTCTTTGCCTAGAACGAAGAACTGGACAAGGTGACGTTTCAGAACTGGACTGTTTTGCCAAAAACAGTGCCAAAACATTTATTTGAAAAATAAGGGGTGAATGAATATGGGAGAAAAGGGCTCCCTGGAGTGAAT